GAGCGCTTGGCGCGCACGCGCGAGGTGAGGTCGGCGGACTGGGCGCGCGCGCGAACGACGCCGCGTGGGAAGTAAGCGCGCAGGTTGCCGCGCGCAACGACGAGTAGGCGAAGCATGGCGGTGCGCGCAAGGGCGGCTAGGGTGTGCACGCGCGCGACGCGTATGAGGCGGTTCGAAGGAGTTGGGTTTGGGCGCAAGACTTGAGCATTCTAGATTTTTTTGGAGTGCAAGACAAGTAATTAGGAGATTTACTAGATTTAGGATTTTATGGTAGTAGGATATTTACTTACCTTAGGATTTAATATTTTATTGTTTTATTAGTTTCCTATTAAGATTAGAACTAGAGGTAGTTGGCATCTATGAATACCCATGTACCTCTTCATTAATAAACATGTTGAATGTTAAATGTTGAGTCTTGAAATTGATGAGCGAATCTCAAAGGGGGAACTTGTTGTTCTTACGTGTGTTTAAACAAGGCCATTAGTGCGTGTTTACATACAGTGTCGGAAAGAAGGCCATTAGAGCGTCTTGAAGTCACAGTGTCTAGGAGAAGTTCGTTAGTGCGTCTATTAGATACACCTATCGTGAGTAAACGAAGGCCCTGAGTGCGCGTTTATTCACAACCCGTATGACAAAAATCCGATCCGTCATCACCTGGGCGCTGCGGGGCGCTGCTGGCGCTGGCCCGTGCATGACTGGCATGGTCCGTGCGCTGGCGGGTGCGGCTGGCACCACGCGTGCGCGAGGGACGGCTGATGAAGATCGTGTGTTCCGATTGCCGATAAGCCACGAATCCGCACCTTGAATTGCCGATAGGTGTTTCTCTAGCCACTGTCGCGCCTATTGAAACGAATAAAATTGTAATAGAGATCTACAAGAAATCTAAGACAAAGTGTTTGAACAGAAGTTCGGATTTTTATTGATAAACTGAATGATGAAAAATAACATAGGGAAGGGTCCTTTATATAGGCACAAAATATATCTAGTCTTAATTTACCTAGGGAATTATTAAAGCAATAAAATATTAGAAATCCTAATTAAGCTAGAAATCATAAAGCCAGATGGAAACTAAATCACTTGACTTGCACACCAAGTAATTCTCTCTCTTGCTCTCTCACGCGTTCGGCCGCCTCACGCACCGCCCGCGCGCCTTCGCCCATCACCCTAGTCGTCGAGGACTAGGACACCGCCTTCCACGCATGTAATAGCCACTATGTTATTAATGTAAATTAAGAGTTTAGTTCCGTATATTACGTTTATGCTCGGAATAATTTCTAAGTATTTAATTTCATATGGTATACGTTAATCCATGCTTAATCGCTCGATAAAAATGTTACCGAGCTTAACCATCTTATCATGTACGTCCAATTCTTTATCACACGTCAATCGTGCTTAACCATGCCTAAACGTGCACTAATTGCCGAGGGATCACGATTACCGCCGATCGTCCTTAGCACACCAAGCGATTGTGCTTAGTTAGCTCCAATCATGTTTAACTAAGGCCTATGTCATGCTTGTCAAGCCAATTACCGTAAGTTATTGGGGCAAACTTCACGTGAACTTCATCATTGTTACTTAGCTTATGTGGCTTCTTCCTAGCCCTCAAGTGATGACTAAGAAAGTCTCCAAGTGCCATCTAGCTCATGACTAAGCATAGAATGCCACCTAAGGCCCTTAGCACACGGCAAGTGGCGTGCGCCGATTAGCCACGCCCTTGACTTCATATTTTACCAAATTTACCATCTCTCATCCATCTATAAAATCTGAAACGTGGGGTAAAAATATAGCTTATACTTAAGCTATATTCTAAACAAGAGTTAAGAGAGATTAAGATATTTTCTCACGCATGCATGCACCCAGCTACCGAACGGACGAGCGATCACGAGAAGTCTTACACCATTGAACGAATGGTTGAAGAGGTAATCTCGTCTTGACCCTTTTTCTAATTTAACATCATCATGTTCAGCCCTAATCATGTAGCTAAGTTCATGAATCGGCTATATTTTCCCTCGATCGCACCATGTCGAGCGTACCCAATTTTATTCGGCAACTTCCGAGCAATTTACGTTTCATTAGTCATTATTGGATATATTATGATTAGTCATGTAGCAATTGTCGAGGGAAGTTATCGATCGGTCGAATAAATCGTTCGAAGCCATGGGCGGCGCACGTAGCGCACGCCACGGCCCGTTCAAGCTTCATCGGGTTATTTTTAGGTTGAGTCCATAATCTTTCAAGTGATTTAAGTGTATTTGATCATGTCATGTTATGTCATGTTAATTGAAGTTAAAGTTGTCAGATGAAGTCGCTGGACGGCCGGCAACAGGCCGGTCGTAGTCGCACTTCCCGCACACAGCGGCCCCAACGTACTGGCAGTCAGTTAGGGTCGGCGAGTGTTGTGCATAGGCCCAACCGGGCGTTGCGTACATGCCTCTGCCCGCAGCAGTCGATAGTCGGCCAGTGCACAGTGCACGTCGGCACATTCCAACCGCACGCCAATCGGCCTCGGGCAGTACCCGACAGCACGCCCGAACGCCAGGTGCCGTCAGGGTCGCCTGATAGCCCCCGAGTGGTACCAGTTCATGCTAGCTAACGCCAGTTTGTGCGTCCAACTGCCCAGTCGCCTGCCCGGCAGTGCCCAGTCGCATAAGTGCTGACACCCAAAGCACCCGGCAGTGCCAGTCATCATGTCATGCGTCCAATCGACCGTCGGTTATGCCTAGCAGCGCCCAATGGCTGTTCCATGAATGCGCGCGTTGCGCCAGTCGCACGCTAGCGCCCATGGTCATGTCCAGTCGGCCTAGGCTAACGCTTGTTGAGCCAGCAAGGTTCAGTCCACGCCGGCTGTGTTCAGTGGCACGCCAGCGTGTGCGGACGTCCATGCCCGCGCCAGTCACAACCAACAAGGCCCGGCCGTGCCTAGGCCGAGCCAGTCCATGACAGCGCCAGTCACAACCAGCAAGACTGGCCGTGCCTAGGCCGAGCCTGGGTACTAGTAGGCCCAGCGCGGGACCGAGCCAGTTGGCCGAGCCAGCGGCCGACCGCCCGGCCACAGCAGGCCGGCGGTCCGGCCAGCAAGCGAACCGGCCGGTTCAGACCGGTTTAGCTCAGGTTTCAATATTTAATGATCCAGTTCAGGTTTATGTCAGGATTTCAGTTAAGTTCCGGGTCCGGTCATGTTCAAAAATTTCATGTCAGTCCAGTTCCATTTTTTAAACTGGTTCCAGTTATACCGGTTAAGTCTAGGTGTCATGTCAAGTTCAAGTCGATCATCTTAACATATTAACCAGTCATTTTAATCAGTCTGAGCATAGTAATTAGTATTTGTTTATATCATGTTACAATTTGATCAATCTACAGTCATCAGCACTATCATTTTTATATCGACGGTTCAGGTGGGGACTCAGATTGGGTATTACATTGATTATAATTACTCTACCATGTTTGAGGTATGTATCATGCTATGTATCCGCTTGGAATGGTAGTCGTGTCCAGGTGCGTAAATCCATTCTGGGTTCTAGTAGCCTTATCTGCCTACTAGAGTGTGCACATGGTGTCCAGCACGTTAGTGTTGGCAGATATTGTAGCTATGCTACAGCTATGCTATGCTATGCTATGCCATGCCATGTTTTTGTATTGTACTGGTACCACGTTTCTATATGCTATTAATTATGATATTGCAATTATTTGCACTGTTTACTTTAGTATGAGTTCCTACGGAGCACAGTGGATTTTAGTGCTCACGCCCCATGTTTATCTATGTTTTATTCAGGTCACAGAGTCGGACCGGAGGTGTGAGCTGACGGGCGGTTCAGGATCATGTTTATACACTTGTTGTATATATGTTTTGCCACGCTACGATTTCCGCTGACTTTTAATTTTTGTCAAACTTAGCCTTTTTGATTAACAATCGGATTGTCTTAATTATGATAATTCGTTTTGCTCAAAGCTAAAATAAAGGTGTCGGATTTCAAAGCAAAGTAATTAATTATAGTAGCACTCAGAGTCATGATTTCACAAACTAATAAGTATTTAAGAAAAGGTTTTTGCGAAAATTTAACTCTGATATTTACGATATATCGGGGTGTTACAGTGCGTGCCTCGTCACCAGGCGTGCTGCGCACGCTAGCGCCTGCTGCGCTGCCCTCGCGCGCGTGGCCGCCCGCCATACTGCATGCCTCAAGGATTGTAGTCTCCCGTCCCGCGCGTGCTCCCTCGTCGACTACGTCCTTCGCGCGCTGCTCTGATGCGCTCGTCGCGTGAGTGTGTCGTTTGTCGGTGCCCGCACCTGTCGCGCCCAATGCCCGTGCATGCTGCGCGTCCGTGCTAGTGTGCGCCTGCTCGTTTGCCCCGCACGTTAGTGGTCCGCGGCCGTCCTTGCCCGTTGTTTGGCCACTCTCACGCTCCGTGCGCGTCTCCTGCTCTAGGACGTGTGTCTCGTCTGTGGCCCGTGTCATTCTCTTGCGTGCGTGATAGGTGCGACTTACGACGTTCTTTAGCTGCCTAGCCACTTCCATATCATTCCCGTCCCCTTCAAGCGCTTCCTTGTCCTCAAGGATAAAACTCGGAAATTGATCACGTATCTCATCTAGATCCTCCCATGTGGCTTCCTCCTGTGGCAACTCCTCCCATTCAACTAGTACTTCCCAGTGGTAGCGTCTAGCTTTCCTGACTTTGCGGTACTCCATTGCACGTTTTGGTCGCACTATGACCCTTCCATCCGTTGCAGTCACCGGTAACTCCTCACACCACTTGTGCGCCTCTCCGAGACTTCTCTTTAGCTGTGAGACATGTATGACCGTATGGATCTGCAAACTCTCTGGTAGCTCTAGACGATAGGCTACCTGACCAATGCGCTTTAGAATCTGATGGAGCCCATAGTATCGTACTCCTAGCTTAGTCGCTGCCGTTTGTGCTGTTGTGTGCTGCCTAAATGGTCGCAGCTTCAAGTAGACATACTCGCCTAGCGCGTAGTTCTCCTCTCATCGCTTCCCATCCACGAAGGCTTCAGTTCGATTAATTGAGCCTTCGAGATTTTTCTTCAACTCTCGCAACATCAAATCTTGCTCCTCCAGTTCTCGACCGACTTCATCATTGACCGAGCCTCCCTTCGAGTAATTGATCAGCGTTGGCGGTTTACACCCATATACCAGCTCGAATGGAGTCATCTTGGTCGACTCATGGTAAGTAGTATTGTACCAGTACTCAGCCCAAGGCAGAAAATTTTCCCACTTCTTCGGAAATTGATGAACATAGTGTTGGTGTTATATACTTAAGCTTTGCTTTAGTGGATATTACACTTGTTATTCCGTGATGAATGAGAATTATGTTAGGTTAAATAAGTTCCACGTTCTGTTGTTTTGCATGTAGATAAGTGGGTCGTCATTGGGCGTACCGAAGATCACTATATCAGTTACTTGCGAAACAAGAATCGTTGGTTCACAACCTAGATGGAATTGAACAACCCATCGGAACGGTTGTAGTGTCAACCGTACGGTTTGTCTTGACCGATTAGTTGCACTAGTACATTAATGTATTGAACAAGATCCCAGAGAGGGATGTTCCTTTTATACTAATCGTCGTAAACGAACTAGGCCTCAGTTAATTATTGCGTGCTCTTAACCCGTAAGATATTATATAGGCATGTGCAATAATTGTTGTTGCTTTGATTCTTTGGGTGAGATCCAAGCCGGGTCGACATACATAATGAATTGGGTAATAACATTATGTGTTCGATGTGCTATTAGGATATTTACGGTCACCATGTGCGTTAGTATTGTTGGGTTCGATATACCGTACGGAACAGAGTTTACAGCGGAATTTAAAATTTTATAAGTATTTATCTTATAAATACTTATTCCATACATTAGTATAACGATATTACGAATAAGCATCATTTAAAATCTAGTAACTTTTACTAATTTTGATTTGATATATAATTCATAAAATTACCTTTGTTCTTGAACTCCTTCAAAACCGTCGATGTA